GAAAAATATGTATTTTACTAATTATAATTAGTAAAAAATTTAAGCGTTGCATTATTTTTGATTGCCACTGTATATGACATAAAAATAGAAATATTTATAAGATAAATATAAAATTATAGAAAAATAGGATTTTATATAATTAAGAAAAGATCATAGAATTAAGAAATTTTATATTATTATGATAATAATATCTTTAAGAATAATAGATAGCAAAAGTATTTTATTATTTATATTATTATTTATCTTGTATTTATTAAGATATTAATATAAGATTATATTGATCAAGAAGTTAGTAATATATTATACTTACATCTTTTTTGCTATAATTTCTTGAGCTAAAAAAATAGTTTTGACTTATATTATTTAAATAAGTATATTCTTGTTTAATTTTTTTGAATAGATAGATAGTTTAATAGAAAGATGATATGTAAATTTTGAGTTAAAAGAATTTTATCTTTTATAATATTAATAAGTTCAATTATATCTTGTATAAATTATATAAATTTGTCTTGATTTATTTTTGCTATAATTTAATAACTAAAAATTAAAATATATATATATAAATATATATAATATAAAATATAATAGATAATATTTATAATAACTATATTTACTGTTACTAAGTTATAAGATTATTTATTTATAATTATAAATAAGATAAAATATGAAATGAATAGTTTTAATTTATAAAAATTATGATTTTATTATTTAAATAATATTCAGATCTAAGATAAAATTATAAAAAAAAATAAATACAAAATATAAATAAATTAATAATAATTAATAATATAAAATATATATAGATTAAATATAATTAATTAATTTAATTTATATCTTCAGAGAATTATAATTTAATAAATTAATAATAATATAATAATAATATAATAATAATAATAAAGAATAAATAAAAATATAAAGAAATAAATAATAATAAATCTAATTAAAAAAGTATTAATAATCTAAATTTAAATTAGAAAATACATAGTAATTATCTGTATGATAATATATGTAATTCTATATTAATTAAATATATAATAATCATCTATATATTTAGAGTGAAATTGATCTTTAAAATATATATACAAAAGATAAATTATAATATAAATAACACAAAATAAAGATCTAAACTAAAAAAATATAACTAATCAAAATTATTACACTTTGATTAAAAGTATCTGATCACTTTAAAGTTAGATAAAAATATGCAATTTTAATAATTAATTATTAACAATTTATAAATATTATAAAAATTTTATATTATTTTATTTAGAAAAATATGAATTTTATTAATATCTAGTTGAATTTTTATAAATATTTAATATAGCTTAAATTCTTGGCAAGCTTTTAACTAAATTTGTTAAAATTCAAACTTAATTTTATTTACTTCTTTTTTAAAACTATTATTAATTTCATAACATTTTTTAAATGAGATTTATAATCTTTAATTCTTTTAAAATATTTTATAAATATTTAATTAGATTAAAATTTGAAGTTTGTGTAAATTATGAAAGACTTAATATCAAACTATTTTTCTTTTATTAATTAATTATTCTTGCTTTATATATTAAGGGCAATTATCATCTTGAAAAATATATTGTAAATTATTTCTAAACTATTTTAAAAATAAAAAAGTATTTTTTTTATTAATTAATAATTCATCACTTCTTCCAATATATTATCTTTATCAATTTCAGTAGTAGTCATTTCTTTTAATATATTATTCATATTATTATAATTAATTTTTTGATTATTATTTCTTTTATAATCAGATTTGTATTTTCTTCTAAAGTTCGGGGTCCAAATTGAAAATCAAGCTGATTGAATTTTATTATCACGTTTAACGTTAATGTTGCGTAGAGGTTCCTGATCACATGCACTTAACAGACCAATAAGAATGAGTGCAAAAAATGTGAAAAAATACACTAAAATCTAGCTTGGAACTTTCCAAACCTTGATGACAAACTCACCTTTTATATTTTGCCAGCTCACATATGATTTTCTTATTGGTTGATTATTATTATCTGGTAAGGAATCGCAAATTTTTAGATACCGATACTACATGTAATTCCTTTTTTCGAACGATCTGCCAATGATGATGCTATTAATTGACCTTTTCAAGCTAAACCGTCAAAAATAAATGAGCGATGCATGTATTGATGTACACGTCATTGGACAAAGAAAGTGTTTGTGATACAAATAAAATAAACTTGGCACACCTATAAAAAGGACCCAAAGAAATTCTCGTCTTTTCTTATCCTTTTTCCAATTTTCTAATATGTCAGATTGGAATCAATTCATTGGTGATCGAACTATTGAATGTAAAATAATAAGATTATTGTATGTACATAGACGACGACTTCGCTCATTCTTATGACCGCAGTACCGGTGAACGACATCACGAAGAAGTGTATGGCGGCAAACTCATAAAGCCAAATTGTCACATGAAGCTGTGGCTGGCGCTGCAGCATTTGCTGCTTTCAGAGAATACGAGAAAAAAAGAGAGAAGGAAGCAAAAAAGACAATCATGCTTTGGCTAAAGAAGTAATTATCAATTCTCAATTAAGCATTTGCGTCAAATAAATTTTTCCAATTATTGTTATATAGGTTATTGCCGGTCTCGTTGCTGCTGAAGCAGAAAAACTAAAGGATTAGATTTTTTTGATAAACAGAAAGCCGAACAAGAAAGCAGCAGAAAGATTATATACTCGTAAGTCAATTATTTTTTTTGTGTTGCATCTATGATAGATCATCTTTAAGCTTACCCTTTTTTACTTATTTAACAGAACATTATGGGGATGAATAATATTGTTATTATCTTTATTAACAAAATGTACAAAATGTTTAAGAATAAAAGGTTGTTGATGGATTATTGTTACATAATGATAATCTTTTCATATTTTTTTACAATTGCATGTTCTTTTTTGGCTCGTGTAATTTTAAAGGTGTCTGTTCATGTGATTTCTAAGTGGTAAACAAGGTCAATGTGTAACTGACAAATTCAAAACAAGTGTTTAAATAGCTTTTACATGCGTACAGAACTCTCCATTTTCCGCTGCCGGGGAGTTCTTGTATACAGTAAAAATTTCAAAAATCCACTGTATCGAGTGAAGATAATATTATATCACGTTTGTCTATGAAATTACTTTGTTCTAACCAAAAAAATTTTACTACATGTAGTCTTAACCACCTAACACTACACTAACCCTAATTCCTAATTCTTTCATATCTTGCGATTTACCCTTAAAATCACATGACCGCTACCCAGTTACATGCACATGTACATGTATCCTGTAATTTTATATGCACATGTATACAAAAAGAATAAACGATAACAATATGATATCGATATTCAACAATCAATTATAGATCGAATTAAATTAACATTGTTAAAAATTATAATAGTAGCACATCCAGTTAAAAGATTCATTTTTCATAAAATTTTATTAGCCATATGTATATCTTTGTCAGTTTTATAACGATACATAAGGTCAAAGTTTGCCATCTTTTTAAGTCTCATGATATAATGGTAATAGATTTTAGAATGCAGAAATGAGTATTAGAAAAATTTTGATAAGTAGCTTGGCCTGGCCTGTAGTGAAGAATCTTGAATTGGCTACATAAGATAGCAACTTATTGTAAACTAGAGCATTTCTTAAAAGTTCTCTATCAGTCTTGTTAATTGTAAAAAGAAATATGCGCATTCTGTATCATGAATACAGTGCTGTATACATGTATGCTATTGGTACGTTGTCTGACATAACTCTTACGGCTTTGACAGGAAATTGTCGAAACTATATAAATCTTATCAATAAAGTCAAAAACTATATCGATATCAAACATGATCTATAAATAAATAGAGTTTCGACTTTTGACATAAGAATTTGCTGCCATGGTGATTGTGACTGACAGAAGTTTGTTATTATAAATTGCCTTCTATACTTATTTGACCATGAATGCTATCATATTTGCACTTCTGAACAAACTTTGCCCAGTGAATGCAGACCTATTCATAATTTCGATGACAACATTAATTGGATGCGGAAAATTTATTCCGTCGAAATATTGCTATATACTTTCAAGATAAAGAGCTTATTTGATGCTAAAAGAAAATATAATACATAAATAATAAATGAAGGAGAATACGCATACTTAAAGTAAATCTTAATAAAAAGGTTGATTTCTATACATTGTTATTAATTTATTAAGAAAATCATGGCATAATGTATGGAGTTAAATTTTGAATGGATTAAGAGAATAAGAAGGCAAAAGGAATTGCATTATAAAAATCACATATGATCCATAAAAGAGAGCGACAGTGCACCATTGACGAAATCCCCAATGAAAGATTTCATCCAATTCACTTGAATCCTCAAAAATGCCATCGTCTACCGCGTTGTAAGTGTTAACATTAGCTGGCTGAAGAAATGTAGGCTGATTCTTCTCTAGATCGATGAAGTCATCATTAATAAGAATAGAATGATTTTGCTCATTCACAATATCGATAAAGAGAAATCGAATGATTGACGTTGATTTGAAAAATAGCACAATTTTTCGAATCGTTTCGATGACTACGTGGACTCGTGGGTTTTCGCTTATCCTCAAGGCAATCTCTTGTGATACTTTGTTGCTTTTATTTTCGTTTTGTGGCTCGAGAAGTTTTTTATGAACTTCAAATTCGCAATTAAAATTCACTTTGATTGCGTCAGTACTCATGGTTATCAAACTTCAATTATTTTATGAGTTAGATGAAGGTTCGAGTCTTTAGTTGTTGGCGACAAGATGAATAAATTATCAGAAAGCATTTTCTTATATATATGAAATTTATATTAATATATATTCAATCTTAAACGCGTTTATAATACGCGCAAACGATTTAATTCATTTGTGTCTTTGTGACAATAAGATAATTGTAAAGGATTAACACGTTATTTGTATTGTTTCGTTGTCAAGAAAGGCAACAAGAGATCCTGTTCTCTGCAGAAAATTAAAATACATGCGGGAAAAGTTATTTACGGGTGCTCTTCTCTAGAAACTGATAGATGCACGTAGTTGAAATATAACGCCCTATAAATGTTTATTGCTACTGTCTAATGTGTAAGAGAAAGAAAAAAATTAAGCTACAGAAAATATTTGTGATACATTCAATGTTGGGCGTTGAAAGCTAAAAATATAAACTTATTCGTATACTTTGTATAAATGTAACGAGAGGTTATCTTGCTAAAAGCGAGATAACTTAGAACACTTAATAGCCACCGGCTGCGTTAGTTTTTTTCCGGCAGAATATGCATAAAAGTTGCTCATGAGTTTACGTAATTTATCTATCGCGAGCAGAAAGACAAAGACCACAATGCAGAATTACACGTATCGTATAATCCAAAAAAAAGGCACAACTATGCACGCGTTTACTATTATACATTTTCTTATTAAATCAAATTTTGAATGAGAATGCATTGTATGTATATGCTCGTTGCTACATGTATATAGAAAAAGTGCATGCGCAATAGCTTGCAGTTCAATAATATAATTTCCATTATTATTTAATACACGTACATTTGTATCTGAGCAGAATAAGTTGTTGATGAATTTTTGTGGTGGACAAATTAGCAACTTTTGAAAAGATTTGATATATCGAAAAATACTGAGTAAATTATTGGATTGTAATATATTTATTTAATACACAATAATGATAACTTATCGCTTTATTCTTGGCCAAATTAGCAAATATCACTGTGAAAGAGTTTAAGAATGAACGTTTTCTAGTCTATTCCTTATATTTCCTATTAACTTTGTCTCGTTATAAAAGTAAATCAAACCATTCATAAATATAAATTGCTTGGGATCAGTCTTTTAATAAATGTTGTAAGTTGTAAGTATCACTAATACTAACGTTAAGAGTTTAACATTAACCACATATATCGATGGAAATTATCAGAACAATTAATTTATTAAACGAACAAATTCACTTTATTTTTCTTTATAGAAAAAGCTATCCCCAGCCTATTAAATTATTAGATAATAAGAAAAATTATCGGAGCTCATCCTAACAAGTCTTTGTTTCTCATCGTAACAAATAATCTTTATTGTAACAAAAGTAAGTATTTACATGTAATATGCATTGAATCTCCAATAAAAATTTGTGTAATTTTCGGAAACCTGGTATGTAAGCAAAGAAACTCGGGATACAACAAAGAAACTCGGAATGCAAACAAAGCATGCATACGTCTAATTGCATAAGACAGTTCAAATCTCGTATGTTTCTTTGTTCTAATTTTACCGAGTAACAATGATTAATTTTTCTAAAATGACAATCTAACAATGCATAATAATACATGTCGATGTATAATTATCGTTATAAATACAATACAATACATGTAAACAGAATTTGTATTACTCAAACAGATTGAAAAAATATCTCCTCTTTATTCATTCATTCTGTTGGATTAGCTCGAATGATTACTTCAAATGGAAAATTACCTATGAAGTATTTTTAAACTTAAAGATTACAGTAGGAGAAAGCTTTGTTTCATCAGCTATATAATTCAATACTACAATAAAATTTATTTTTTCGTGTCTTATTATTCAAATACTAATAGATCAGGCACCTAATTCATCTATTGTAATATTGAAAGGAAGATCAAATATCATAGATATTTTTATTTACATTATAATATTAATAAATAATCAAAATTGTATATGTCAATATATAATGAATGCTAGAAACTCTTATTATTATTCAATTAGATTTTCTAATAAATATTGTGCAAGAATAGTTCAATATTAATTAGTCAAATTATTATAATATATTAAACTATCTAATTATTTATTACTAAAAGCAAAGAATTGAATATTAATGTAAATATTTTTCTATTATATTTATTACATAAATACTTTTATCTTTACTTAAATTATATTTTATGAAATATATAGCTAGCTGATTTTTTTATTCTCTTATTTATTTAATTTTTAAAGCTGAATATTTAGAAGATTTATTCTTATTTAAATTATTTTATACTTGATTAAACCTTTAAAAACTAATTCTTTTTAGATAATTAGATTTTTTAATAATATTATGCAAGAATAGTTCAATATTAATTAGTCAAATTATTATAATATATAAATTATCTAATTATTTATTACTAAAAACAAAGAATTAAATATTAATATAAATATTTTTCTATTATATTTATTATATAAATACTTTTATCTTTACTTAAATTATATTTTATAAAATATATAGCTTGCTAACTTTTTTTATTCTCTTAATTATTTAATTAATATAATTTTTATAGCTGAATACTTAGAAAATTTGATTATTTTATCCTTGATTAAACTTTAAAAATTAATTCTTTTTAGATAATTTATTTCAAAATTACTTTATTTTAATATTAAATTTAGATCTGATTTTATTTTTATTATATATATTTTTATAATACTTTATAGTTACAAGTTTTTTACATATATTTTATTAATAAAATAACTTTTTTATTATTCTTAAATAAATTATAAATTTATTTATATAAATTATTAAAAAATTTATATATTTATATTTTTTTTATAAAATATATATAATAATTAATTAATATTTTTATTATTGTATAATTTTTAAATTTAGTAATATAATTCTAATAATTATATATCTAATAAATAATAATATTTATTTAAAATTTTAAATTTATAAGTATTATAAATTAAATACTTATTATAAAATCTAATTTTTTAATAATAATTATATATATATATTATTATATAAATATATATATTATTTAAATAAAAGTCTTATATATTAAAAATTTAATTATATAAAATTATATATAATAATTATAGGCTATTGCAAAAAAATTAATATATTATTATAAAAATTAATAATTACTTCTAATAAAAATTATTCAAATTTTAATTAATCTTTATAATTTTTTTATATTAAATAA